TTCATCCTCACTCAGCTTCCTCAGTATTTGTTCTGTTAGTTTGCCACCCTCATCTGTTTCTAATTAACAATCAACCAGGTGTTCCCACTTTCCTCTCCCTCAGTTTGCTATTTAACCAGTCTCCAGTCACCACCTCCCCAGTAATTCCTTGTATTTGGTTAAACCTAATGTTCTCACTGTGTTTCCTCACCCTTCTGTGTTCTTTTTTTTGTAAGTCTGCCACCACGTCAGCTTTTAATTTATTTAAATAAATACTTTTTTAAATTTTGCTCTAGCTCCTCTCAGTCTGTCTGCATTTGGGTCCTATATCCACAACCAAATGTGACTCAAAACATATAAGAACAAGAGTAAACATCAGCTAATAATTTATTACAGTCAGTATCTAACAACCTAGGCCAAACACAGATCTGTCTACACTGAAAGAAATAATTATTTTTGACTTGCCTCTCAGCAGACTTGTTTTTTTCCAGTTGAGTTTTTGCATCTCATACAACCAAAACAATCAACCGGAGTCCACAGACTCCATAACCCTCAGAAACACCTTTTTAAACTATTTTGTCTGGATGTGAAGAATCCTATTTTTTGATAACTTCATTATATTTTATTAACACAATAATGTAAAACAGGACATTAGATTTTTGCCAAGACAAATTTTTTTAAATGTTTTTTTTTTCACAAAAACTATTTTTAACCAACAACTAACTTGTGACTAGATGAAGATTAAGTAGGCTGATGAGTTGAGTTTATTTTGGCTCCAGTTTGCAGCCGAGTGTGAAGCGTCTGGGACGAGAGTCAGTTCCTCCAAGTCTGAGGCCATGGTTCTCAAGAGGAAATGGAAGGAATGCCCCTTTTTGGTGTTTGCCTCCGGTAGACGAGTTTAAGTATATGGCCGTCTTGGTCATGAATGAAAGTAGGATGGAATGGGAGATGGATAGGTCTTGTCCTCAGTAATGAGGATGTTGTTTGGTTAGTTGTGGTGAAAAATTTGTTGATTTACTGGTCTGTCTATGTTACAACCATCACCTATCGTCATGAGGTTTGGATCATGAAAGAACGAGATCCAGAATACGAGTAGCTAAAAGAAGCTTACTTTGTAGGGTGACCAGGCTCAGAATGGGCTTAGAGCTTAAGAGCGCTGTTATCACGGGGTGGCTCGGAGTAGAGCCGCTGCTCCTAGACATCAGTGTTGGGTTTGACAGCTGAGGTTGTTCAAGCATCTGATTAGGATGCCCCCTAGACACCTCCCTTTGGAGTTTTTCCAGGAATTTCCCACTGGGAAGAGGCCACAGCACAGACCCAGAACTTGCTGGAGGCATTGTGTATCTTCTCTGGCCTGGAAACACCTTGAGGTCCTCCAAGAGGAGCTGGAGAGTGTCCATGGGAAGAGGGAAGTCTGGGTTTTTCTCCTCGACCTGTTGCCTCCACGACCCGACTATGAATATGCGGTAGAGGATGGAGAAACATTATTTTATTATGCCAATACTGCTAAATTAAAAAAGACTTAAATGACTCCCCTGGAGGGGGGGGGGGCGAACTGGCATCAGAATTGGACATTTAGAAAGTCTAATTGGTTGAACTCTAGCTGTGACAAAGTAATAAAAAAAGGTCATTTTTTAGTCAGTTATAGACAAAAACAAAGTTAGTGTCCTCTAACTTGGCAGAAAAAGACAAGTTTGAGCTGGAAATCTATAGCAGATTTGTCTGCAGCTGTTTTTCACTAGAACCACACAAGAAAAAAAAAAAACGACAACTAACTAAATAAAACTCCTTAGTAAAATGTTGCTTTCCTGTCTAAGGGTGCCAATAAAGCATGTATTTTTACAAATATAAAATTACATGCATAGTCTCTTTCAGATTAGCATTCATTTTTGTTAAAACACATCAAAGATACCAGGAAAACACAGGGAAGCATCAACTGACGGTTACATCAGTGTTTCTGTTCTCTTTAGATGTGCAAGCTGACAAAACAAAGAACATAAATTGTGCAGCGCTACCAGCTGTACTAGCCTATTAATAACTGTAACACTCAAGGTATGCCATAGCTGTACATAACCATATAGATGTGTGGTGTCCACACACTGTGCTCATTTCAAAGATGACACCACGCAGATGTTTCCAACTTAAACTGGAATGACAAGGGAGTCATCATGACATGTGATGAGAACAAATCAATAAAACCAATGAAACCAATGATAAGATGCACCTAAGAATCCACTCACAGTTGCTCCCCGGAATATACCTTTAAAAACCACCTTTTGTACTGTTGCTAAATGTTGTCAATAACATAAATTTTAGTCCACACTCAAACCCATAAGAACTTCATTTTAACTCCTAAATTCTGGCCTTAAGTTCCTCCATTTCAGCCTGAATATTACAGACATTTGTCTTAAGTTAATTCAATTCAGTTTAATTATATAGCGCCAAAACACAACAGAAGTCATTTCAGGGCACTGAACAGAAACATTCATATAGCCTATATAAAAAATAAGTTAACAACATCATTTGTCCGAGGAGCAGACTGCTTTGAGTTTAACTCCATCACAGAGCTCTCCTCTTGCGCAAGCTTGAAGGTGACAGTGGAAAGGAAAAACTCCTTCATGAGGAAGAAACCTTTAGCAGAACCAGCTCAGGACAAGCGACCATCTGCTTCGACCGTCTGGGTTTGAGAGGAACAGGAAACAGTGACAAATACACAATGGCAGGTTGAGAATCACATGTTAAGGTAGAAATAATATCAAATGAAAACTATTCAATTTTAGCAAATCATTTTAGGAAATGTGGACAACTTGTCCTCCAGTAGTCTAAGCCTATGGCAGTATAACAAGTAGACCTGTCACGATAACAAATTTTGCCGGGCGATTAATTGTCTCAGAAATTATTGCGATAAACAATAATATTGTTTGACATTTGACAATAATTAGTAATTATTGTCAAATTTAAGAAGAAATGTTGGTTAATTTGTTTTGAGTGAGAAGGATGGCTAGTGAGAGAGCGAGCAGTGTGTCTCTTTAAGAAAAATGGGAGGGAGGCCCCTTGACGTAACATGGGCTGTCTTTCTTTTCTTTTTTCGGTTCTCAAAATGGTGGATGCTCGATGTGGTTTGAGCTCTTTAGCATAGCATTTTTCACACAAACTTTTAATAGAAAATCAGTAAACAAGTTCTCATCATCTTTTTTGCAGAGAAAAACAACTTTTTACACGAAGACACGGGTTTCAACCGTGAATTTTGGAGCTTTGACAAGACGGAGGTTTTGTCCCGAGGTCGGCCTATTAGCTTAACTCGTAGCTCAGCTTAGCTGCTTTGAACGATCCAAAAACAGTGATTTTGGACAATTTAAAATGGATTTTAAGAGGAAAGAGAAGGGGAGGGGTCAGTGAAGAGCACAGAGTTGAGCCTTTTGTCATCCAGTGTCTTCAGTAGAAAGAGAGAGACACGAAGAAACGATAAAGCCGATAAATGAAAATGAGGTTGATCATTTTAATTTATCATGTGATTGATTAATTGTTTATTGTGACAGACCTAATAACAAGCCAACCTTAACTATAGGATTTATCAAAAAGGAAAGTCTTCAGAATCAGAATCAGCTTTATTGTCATGGCACCGAAGCACAACAAAATTACATTTCAGTACAGCACATCTGAGGAAATGCTCAAAATAAGCCCAGTCTTAAAACTGGACAATGTGTCAGCCTTATGGACAGAAACTGGAAGTTGGTTCCACAAAAGAGGATCCTGATAACTGAAAGATCTGCCTCTCATTCTGCTTTCGGAAACTCTAGGAACTACAAGTAAGCCTGCAGTCTGAGAGTGAAGTGCTCTGTTAGGAAAATATGGAACAATAAGATCTTGAATATAAGATGGAGCTAGGTTGTTGAGAGCTTTGTAAGTTAGAAGTAAGATTTTTGAATTAAATTCTGAATTAGACAGGGAGCCAATGGAGAGAAGCTAAAACTGGAGAGATATGATCTCTCCTACTACAAAGTAACTCCAGTTAAGACTCTGGCAGCAGCATTTTGGATCAACTGAAGACTTTTTAAAGAAGTATTTGGACACTCAGATAACAAACCATTGCAATAGTCCAGTCTAGAAGTTAGGATATAGATTAGTAGAACTATAGATTAGGCAAGAAAACGGAATCAGGTCCATAGATGATAAAGGTCGGAACCAAAAACTGTATCTTACATTCTTTACAGGTAAGCGTTATGAAAACAACGATAGGACTGCAGATACGGCACCATTAAGCAGAATTTTCCTTTTTAAAAACAAGACAAGAAATTTTGAAAAAGTAAACAACAAAACCTTCCTAATGAAAATCACTGTATAACCACTGTCCTACAAAGATGGACTCTAAATAAACAAGACGTTTCTCTAGCAAGGTTGCAGTTGTTTCAACCACCAGAGGAAGAAACAAGTTTATCATTTCTGTCAGTTTTATGACTTAAAGCCTCAGCTGTTAAAATAATGTGATAATATACAGTTTATGGTTGATCTGATAACTCGGATTTTGGTCCCCTTTTGGCTTTAGGGATTGCTAGTACTAAAAAAAAAAAAAAAAAAATCCAGCTTGTATTCCCAGCCGCAGCATATTTTAATGTTATTATTTCAAATGGTTCAGTAACAACTGGATCAGCTGGCTGAACATCCTGCACCGCTCTGTCCCTGGACTTTGACAGCAAAGGCCTAACCAGATGTTTACTTTAGCTCTATTGATCCCCTACCAGTTCGACAAGTCAAGTCAGGAAAAGGTGGCGTTTGCCCAACACGAAACTTTTCCACATGCATCCGATCAAACACAGCATTCTGCAACCGTTGTCTGACATGGCAGATGATAACAAGTGTCAACAGCCCCAGCACAAAATCTAAATAACGTTTGTTAATGTTTGACAGCGAGCGAGCACGGAGAGTTTACTGAACTGTCTGGAGAACGAGTCGTCTTGCATTAGTCTGTCACTTGGGTGTTTGTCTGGACACAAAAAACAGCACGGACTGCAGCAACTCACCTGATGATGTCACGAGATCCTGGTCAATGAGGAACGCAGATCCTGGTGTAGACGACCAATCCAGGGAGGAAATCATGAGTAAGAGCAGGAGGTTGGAGGAGTGGGACACAGTCATGATGCTGGAGAGAAACAATGGGTTGAGTTAGAGTGAAGGACAGCGATGGTGACTATTAGCTGAACTTTGAGATGCATATGTGAGGAAAAAAGTCTCCTTGTCCCATGTGCAGCTTCTTTTCTGTTTTGTGTTTCCAGCTGAACTGTGAGCTCAAACTGTGGTTGCCATTTATTTTCAGCTGGTGTACATGAAACCCAACACGAGACAGGAGCATAAATAATTGTCGTACTTGTTTATCCGCAGCGATTGAAAGTCAAACCTATGAAGGTTGTTTTCTGTGGGGACCTCCTGTTTAAGTTTGAATGCATTTAGTTTTTTAATGCTCTGTATTAAATCTCATGTACATACAGATGAGACGTGAGGGAAAAAAAAATCTAATTAGATCAGGGGTGTCAAACTCACAAAATGGGACCAAAGTTAAACCCTTTTTCAAACTAAGGGCCAATTTCAGAATCTACATTAACTCAAATAAGATACTCAAACTATTTTCTTGGTCACAGGTTCCTCAGCAAGAGTTTAATTGGTTGCATTTGATGTTCTCTGTTGTGCTTTTGACATCATAATCAAAGATTACTGAAAAAAAATTCAAGAGACAGAAGTATTTTACATTTCATATATCATCCTGAGGGCCAGATAAGATGTCAACAAGGGCCACATTTTGCCCCCGGGCCTTGAGTTGGACACAAATGAATTAGATCATTATTATGAAACAACATGGTTCACCAGCTAACAAATGATGCAGCGGGGTGGGGGGTGGGGGTTAGACCATTTCATTGGACGGCAACTAAAAAGACCTTAAAAATGATTTTGCAGTCATACAAAGAAATAAGTGTTAATGTGAGCAATTTGCGTGGTTAACTGGACCCAACAGTGGAGCTGCAGGGCATAAAGCAATACACAAATATGTTAAAACATCATACATACATTATCTTTGCCCACTTTTTCATTTCCAGGTGGTGGATGTTGCTGGTGCCCATGTTCAGCAGTCACTGTGAAAGAGTTAGTGTACACCCTGGACTGGTTGTATGTAAGACAACCATTCACGCTCTCACTCACGCCTAGGAACAATTTAGAGAATCAGCCTTAACATGCATGTGTTTGGTCTGTGGGAGGAAAATTAAGTACCTGGAGAAAAGCCATGTACAGTATGTACAGAGAAAACATAAACTCCACCCAGAAAGGTCCCCAGCTGGGATTCAATAATACAACCTACTCGCTGAGAGGCAACAACTTTACCAACTGCACCACTGTGCAATACATGTCATAAAACTTAATAAGTTAAGAATAAAAACACAATTTTATATATTCTGGCAACAATTTAAATATTCATTTAATTTGTTTCACCTACCGTTGAAGCAGTTAAATGTGTTTAAGTTTTCTGAATGCCAAGTCAGTTCCTCAATTATAAGCAGTAGTAAAGAGGGTATGACTTTTGGGGTCATGATTCAGCAGCAAAAGGACAAACTGCTCTGGGTAATTGAAAACTGAGCATACAAACAAAACATTTAACATGCACTGCATATAT